GAGTTGGGACTAAAAAGTGGGAGAAGGAAAGGAGGAAATAAGGAAATGAGAGAAAGGAAAAACAGATGTGCACCTTAAAATACTTCAAGCACAGATAGCTGAGATAGTGTTTAATGTATTTAAGGCAGTTCTGTGAAGGCTTAAAGGCAATTAAACTTGTAAACTGTGGCTAAAAGATTTCCAAACACAAAGTGGGTGATAATGTCCCCAGAATAATAGGAAATGTCAGATCTAGGCTTTTAAAAACATACTTTCTCCTGCAGACACAAATTCAAAATTGGAACATTTTTATGAAGCCTGCCCCAGATTCACAAAAATACAGAATGTGTAATGAGTATTTTGCATACTTAACACTTTTCTTGGTTACTTAACTGTTTACTATGGCACTATGTGTAACTTGCCTGAAATTCATAACTAACTGAGTGTCCTGTATTCTATTTGATAACCCTCCTTTGAGGTGTAGAACAACTATTTCAAAATTGAGATAGCAGTTTTGAGGCCCAGGCGGACCTGACACTGAGACCTTGCAGGTTTCTGCTGTGGCTGGAAAGCGCTAAGTAACCGAATAGGAAGATGAGATCCATCCAAAGGATACTGAAAGAGGGAAGGAGAGAAGAAAGAAAATGCCTAGGTAAACAGAGTTCCTTTGGAAAGACTACTGCAGAAGCTGGGTGGACAGAGATGTGCAATGAGAGATTCGAGTTATTTTAACTTGTTTGATGGCTTTCAAAGATGAATTCCTCTCTGCCATGTGTACCTTGGAATCCAAGGGAGGTCTCCAGAGGAATCCCAGGGGAAGTCCGCAGCAATGTGACTAGCACGAACTCCAGGCTCCTCCTGGTGGCTGCTGTGAGTATCGCTTCTCCAGGCTCCCTTTCTCATCCTAGAGATTTCTCAACTCCACCATCTGTCCTAGGACATTCATTACCCATTCCTCTCCTTGCCTCTTCCTTCCTTCTTGCTCTGCATCTGCTTATTCATTCGGAGCCTGCCCTAGACTTGACACCTCTCAACTGCTCTGGCCCCAGGAAGAGGCCACACAGAGCTGGCCATTGTTGTTCAAGGCCTAGGACCACCCGGGTGGGCACAAGTAGGGGAAGTGCTACCAGCGTGAAGGCCAGATGACTGACAGCAGCCTCGGGGTCAAGTGCCCGGCAGGGTGGCCCGGAAAGAGGCCCTGTGCTTTGGACCCCAGCAGGACGGTCCTCAGCGGGAACCCAGCCTGCTTCCTTTATTCTCATGCAAACAAGGGCACTAAAATTTCTGTTTTGAAGGTGGTATGAATACACACATAGAAAAAAGGATTATGCTGGCAAAATGAGATTTTTTTTTTTAGCTTGAGAAAGGCAAATCCTGCTGTGTTAATTTTGTGGAGGGAAGGACACTTATTTAGAATCATTAACAATGTACATCTGAATATTTTCCATGTATAGGCACACTCAGCCTGTCTCCCCACCCCCCTTCCTCCATCATTCTGCTGCTAACACTGAGAAGCCCTGTCTCTTATTTTTATTTATTTATGTATTTATTGGTCGGTCGTGGGGCTTTGAACTCTGGGGCTGAGCGCTGTCCCTCAGCTCTTCAGCTCAAGGCTAGCGCTCTACCACTTGAGCCACAGTGCCACTCTTGGTTTTCTGGTGGTTTATAGGAGATAAGAGTCTCCTGGTCCTTCCTGCCCAGGCCGGCTTTGATCTGTGATCCTCAGATCTCAACTTCCTAAGTAGCTAGGATTACAGGCATGAGCCACTGGTGACTGGCAAGTCCTGTCTCTTAACCACAGTGACCACTTCATGGTCTTCCCCAGGCTCAACAGCTTCTAAAGCTCTGACTCAAAACCTAGCTTAGGCTAGGCACCAGTAGTTCATGTTTGTATCCTGGCTACTCAGGATGCTGAGATCTGAGGATCATGGTTCAAAGCCAGCCTGGGCAGGAAATCTCATGATACTCTTCTCTCCAATAAAGTATTCAGAAAAAGCCAAAAGTAGGGCTGTGGCTCAAGTGGTAGAGCTTTAGCCTTTAGTAAGAGAAGCTCAGGGACAGTGCCTAGGCCCTGAGTTGAAGCCCCAGGACTGGCAAGATGCCAGCCAAACAACAACAACAACAACAACAAAACAGCTTACACTACAGAAGGGAAGGAAGCTGGTCATAAAGTGCCCTGATCTTTGTGCAGCTTCCCAGAAAACTTCCCTGTTTCCAGAATGTCCCATAGTCATGCAGATATTGATCCACTCGGGGTGACACTGTTTGATCGGCTCAGCTGGAACCAATCACCTTGTGTTCTCATATTGGTTAAGTAAATATCATGTATGCTTAGGAAAAAAAATTAAGATCAAATAAAGTGATTTGTAGAATTTCTTTTTAAATCATAATATCCATTGGGAAATTGATGGAAATGAAGAGAAAGGCAAATGAATACAATTTTCATTATAATTTTGAGGTCTATCAACCATTGAAATCTCCAGATGGATGGCCTAGAGACCCATGGCCTACTTAAAAAGCCTTTTTCTAGTTGACTGTCCCGGTAGGTAGAGGCTCAACTTTAGTCTAGAGAGTTCACATTGTCTCCTAATTCTTTATTAAAACATATGATGGAGCTGGGTGCTGATAGCTTATATCTGTAACCCTAGCTACTCAGGAGCTGAGATCTGAGGATTGGGGTTCAAAGCCAGCCTGGGCAGGAAAGTGACAGGCATGCGCTACTGCGTGTAGCTACCATCTGAGGAAAAAGTCTCAAACTTTTCTGGCTGGGCTGGCCTTGAACTGCTACCTTCCTGAGCTTAGTCTCCCAAGTTAGGAGGATTACAAGCAGCAGCCACCATTGCTTGGACAGTTGTTCTTAATAAGTAGAGCACTCACTGAAAAGATGGCTATTTCTGAATGATGCTGAGATCTCACTCGGCTCTTTCCATAAGTGATCATCTAAATTGCAAAGATGAATCTAGCTCTTTTGAAGGCTAGCCAGGAAATTACTGTTTTTCAAAGCACCCCATGGTGGCGTTATACTTCATGAATCCCAACAATAATGATTGCATATATTTGAGATATTAGAATTTGACCTGGACAAGTAAATGCAAACTATTACTACCAAGTGCTTCCTTACCTCCCCATCTTCACCTCCAGTCTGAGGAGCTGCTGAGCAAGAGACTATGTCCTTACTTATTTCCTTGGGGCTGAGTCCCAATACTGGTTCTGCCAAGATTTTACTACACTGCATGGCATTCTTTCCCAGGACTCCCTGAATGCATTGCAATACTTCCAAGAATGGACAATTGATTTTCCTTCAGGGAAAACAATAACAACAACATGCAAAGGCATTAATGTAAAGCTATTTTTTTCTTTATTGAAAATACACCTACAATGTCATGCTGGCCAGTCTGCATTGGCGATGAGAATAGGAAGAGTCCAGATGGACTGGTAAAAGGATTGCCCTAGAGGACCTGCTTTTGTAAGAAATGGTTAGTATAAAAACACATCACAGTGTGCAAAAGCATTAATTTGACATGATTAATTTGTACTCTACTTTGTGTCATAAGATGACAGCATGTACATTAACTTTTGCAGTATATTTCCCAAATGGAGCTTTGACATTAAATGGTTACTCCACCACAGCCTAAGTTAACCTTGATACACACATAATGTTCAGGATCTATATATAAAAAAAAAATCCTCATTTTTATATCAGAAGATGTACATCTAGATGTTCAGTGTGTTAGCATAATTAAGTCAATTCTTAACCATTAGCCGGTATTTTCGGATGACTCTCATTAAGTGCCTTTAATTGGATATTTCAGGGTGGGGGGGGTTGATAAAAATGAATCTCCTTGAAATCTGGAAGCTGCCTTGCCTGAACAAATGCCCCTGTTCTCTTCCCTTGTAACCTCATTGACATTATCTTCATAGTGGTTCATTTTCTCCCATTATTCTTTGGGACACAAACAAAACTAAAGCGAACTGCACTGTAGCCTCAAGTTTTGAATGATTTGGTAAGTGGAATTCCCACACAAAGAAGTATGTTGTTTCCCTCATTCCAAGGACTTCTGATTAAAGTAAAAAAAAAAAAAGTTCAGATAAAAGACCACCCACCCACTTCATGAACTCACAGGAGAGGGGTGGGGAGGTCATTTATTTAACTTCAAAATATGTAAGAAGTGAACTTCTATCTTGTATGTACACTTCTTTGGAGGAATGATTTGGAACTGAACAGAAAAAAAAATGTTTCCAGGAACAAAAAGATTTTTTTTCTGTTTTATCCTTTCATAAAGAATAAAGACCTCTGCTCTTGGTGCCTAAAATCTTCCCTTTACAACCATCAACCATACTCTTCTTTTTGTGCCCCGCTTCCTTTTCTTTAGTCTTCTGTAGTAAGGACTTCAGCACATTTGCTAGTTGCTAATCTTCTGTTTACTTCCTAAAAGTCTAATTGTCAATTGAGGAGTGGAAGGGGACGCCCTTCCCAGAGCAGCCCTTAGAGCAGGCAAGAAGAGAACTATGGCCCCTGGTGAAAGAACTGGGCAAAGAGTGTCATGAATGATCTGCTCTTGGAGTGGTCTCCTGCCTGGAGATGTGCATAACCGACACTTTGGACAGAGGACCAGTGTGCCACATATCCTGGCCTCTGGACAGAAATGTCCACGACCATGAAGTGTCCTTGGAGAGCCCTGAGCTCCATGGAATGGTAGGTACTTTGCCGGGTATTGCACGGGGGAAATCCAGAGCAGCCTCTTTCTTGATGTCACCAGAAGTCTGGGCTAGAGGGACCAAAAAAGGTGTCTAGAGCATCAGTGAAGACACTGAGGCCTACAGATGAGATATGACTTGCCCAAGACTTTCCCACAGCTGTGCCACGAGTGTATGTAGATTGTCCTGCTGCTGAGAAAGCAAGGTTATGATTACAGAAGTAAAAGGGAAAAAGATAACTCCATAACTCACGGTTATGGATCACCTTTTGAGACTAAGACCCAATTGTGTGTGTGCTGAAGGATTTTTTTCTTTTAATTTCAAAAGTTAATTTTTAAAAAAATGGGCCTAGTATTTGTTTCTTTAACTTAGAAGGCAATTGTATTATAGGATCTCATGCCAAATCAACTGGGTAAGATTTGATCAAGATTTGATCCTAGTACCTTGGGTAAGATGAATACGAAATGATCTTTAACATGTCCAATGTATGGCTGAGGTAAAGTCCTCCCTTGTGTGTTGGATGAATCCTAGCAGAGTAGGGAGGAAGAAGGAAGGCAGGGCTCTCTGGAGGAATGAGCAGAACGAGATGCACACATTTTACAATGATTTCTTTTCCCCAACACCTGGTGCTCAAGGAAGCCTTTCTCCATGTCAGTTTACATCTTGGTTTCACTGTCAATGGGTTTCTCAGGTTCGTTGTCCTGGGCAATCAGCTGATATGGTTTCTTCATCTCATTCTCTTCAATTACCGAGTTACCCATTTCTGCATCTCGGTTCTTCAGTTCGTGTCTTGACAAGTGCTCTACAATCCCGGCTCCAAGGGAGTCACCCAGCACATTGGTAGTGGTTCGGAGGCGATCCCTGTGGGCAAGGGAGGGAGGGAGAAAATGGGAAGCTCCTTTAAATATCATGAGATGCTAGCTTCTACTGTGAACTAGCTGGAGAAGATTTTAGAAGCATCTCTTAAAATCCAGGGTAAGAATAGCCAGCAACTACATAGTTACACACTAGACATGTAATTCCCATCAAACTAGCTATTAAATGTTATGAGGACAGGTAGGTGACTCAATTTTCAGTGATGAGGCTGAATGGAGCTAGAATCCCTACAGTGATGAATGACTCTTTTTTTTCTTCTTTTATTTTAAATTTCTCACTGGCTTCTCAGAAGGTGGAGACAGTAGAATGGATGTTTGAGGTCAGCCCAAGCAAAAAGTAAGTGAGACTCTCTCTGAACAAAAACAAAAATAAAAGACAAAGGATGGGGATGTGGCTCACAGGAGCGCTGAGTTCAATCGCCAGTACAACCAAAAAAAGTTCCTAAAGTGTAGTTCAGAGATTTTTTTAGGACCCCCTGAGGTCAAAATCCTTGTCATAATGTTAGGATATTATTTTCTCCTTCTTCTCTCATTTTTCTTAGGAAGTATAGGGGAGCTTTGCAAAGTCTACACAACATAGTTGGGCTCTACCTGTCTAGCATTAAGATGGACATTATAGGGATTTACATAATATAAGGTGGGGCCATTCTTTTCACTATGTTTTTGGTCTGGAAGTGGTTATTTTTCACAGGGCCAGGATGAAGGGGTGCAGAGCAGTAAATTCAGGAGGTAGAGGCAGGAGGATCTAGTGTTTGAAGTCATCTTGGGCTCTATAATGAGTTCTCAGCCATCCTCAGCTACAAAGTGAGATCCTGTCTCAAAAAACCATGTCAATCTAGCTCTAGGATAGGATGCTGGCTATGCACGAAGCCCAAGGTTTTATTTCCAGGACTGCAAAATCAATTACCCTTCCCCTGTCCTTGTGATATTGGTACTAATGCACAATGAATTCATTATGACCTCTAAACAATGAGTTAAACATGGGCAAGCTTTTCTGAAGTGATAAATATCGATAGATATACAGCCCACATAAATTTAAAGCGCAAGCTTTTCTAAAGTGAGAAATCTCCATTGATGGATGGCATTTAGACTTAAATCATTTTTTGGACTTCAATGTTTTTAACATGTAAAAATAAAAATATTGAGAATGAGTGCTTTCATTTTGTAAAAGTGCTGACACTCACTGAGAGTTAAGGCAGTGAGTAGAGTGACTGCACGGATGTTTATTGCCTTAACCCTCCCAGTACTTGCAGGGGGGGTGGGGGAGGGAAGACAGGGGGACAGGGGCACATAAACAAGACCATTTCACTGAAGTGGAAACGAAGGTGGATGAGCCGTCTAGACCAGGATGCAGGAGACTAGATGAGACTCCCTCTCTTGGGTTTCCTGCACGTTTTTGGGCTCTCCATTAGTTCTTGGAGTCAGCATGTACGACTCCAGTACCCAATGTGTTCTTCTAAGCACTTGCACTGGGCATCTTTGAAGAAGGGAAACAAAAGGAATGTCTGCTGGAAGGGGGAAGGATGGGGGTCAGGAATGGCTCTATAGGATCAGGCCGCAGGGTGCAGAAAGTACATTTTTTGGGACGTTTTCCAGAACACTGAATCAATCCACTGGACGATGCTCTGTCTCCACTGTCTGCATGGCCATCACCCCGTGGGGCTCAGACGGAAACATCTGAGTTACATCATTGGAAAGCGAGGCCTAAGAAGAAGGGCCTGAAACAGTGCATGCGCCTGGAGGCTCTTTCTAGCCGCCATGGGGATGTGTTGTGCAATTCAGGAAGGCCTGCGTGAGTTATGTTGGCTTTGCAGCCATCAGGTTTCCCAACTCCGAATGGCTTTATGGAGTGAGGAGTAGAACAGCCACATGTGCCCTGGCAGGCTGGGAACAGGGTGACTGGCGCACAGGAGGAGGATGTAGCCACAGGTTTTCCTCCTCACCAGGTTCTTCTGGGAGATGCACCAGGCTGCGCGGCCCACCCGGGTGACAGACGGGGCCGCGACCTGAGCCAGAACACAGTCAGCATGTACTCACAGGAACCAGTCGACTGCGATGATGAGTGTGATGTCGTCAGTGGGCAGGCCCACGGATGTCAGCACGATGACCATAGTGACAAGGCCTGCCTGAGGGATCCCAGCTGCCCCGATACTGGCAGCCGTGGCCGTGATACTGTTGAAAAACAAAACAACACAGCATCGAAACCAGAAGATATTTGTACAACTGCTCCTCAGTGGACAGCACCCTGCAGAGCATACACACATCAGCTCATGACCCGCCCTGTTATCCGAAGAGGATGTGCTTCAGAAAAGGGAAAAAATAAAATCCCCGAGCTCAAAATAATCTTTTTACTTTGGGGCTTGCTTTGTGTCATCTGATATGCTAAGCATGGCTAATCTCACTTGATCTTTACAACAGCCCTCTTGAAGTTGTTCTAACTGTTCAAACATTTGCAGTGAACCAAGTGGTGGGTGGCTATCTTCTTTTTCGTGTCCTGGAAAGTGTTTTGGAGGATCTAAAGTACAGTAGTTGAATGGGTAGAGTGTAGTGGTAGAGTGTTTACCTTGTAGGTGTTGATGCCCTAGGTTCACTCTCCAGCATTGCCCAAAATAAACACAAAAAAAACAAAGGTAAACAAAATCAACAAATACCCTCTTAGCCTTCCAAGTCAACTTGAACATTTAAAATTCAGTAGAGTTATAGTAATGTTTTTTTTTTTCCTTTGTGCCAGTACTGGAGCTTGAACTCAGGGTCTTGAACACTTGCTTAGCTTTTTTGTTCAAAACTGCTGCCTACCACTTAAGCCATACCTCCACTTCCAGCTTTTTGCTAGTTAATTGGAGATAAAGTTCTTGCATCCCCCGACCCCCACCCCAAACCTTCATCCTCAGATCTTAGTCTCCTGAGTAGCTAGGATTATAAGCATAAGTTTTTGTAACAATTTACTTCCAGTAACTCCCCTATGCCAGTGGAGGCTTGTAAAGAGCTTGATTTGTGTGATTATAGTGGACAGAAAATTTAGCCTATTAATTATTTAAATTATTAAAGTAAATGGGGTATGGACAAAGTTCTGCACCATTATCATTCCTCTTTCCTTGAGGTGGAGTCACTGTGCACTGTCATTTGCCAAGTGTAGTGCCTGAGAGTCTAGTTTGTTCAATATGAGACTTAGCTAATGAGAGAATGTAAAAATGTTTTTATAAATAACAGAACCTTACCTAGATCTGAAGTGGTATTGATAAAGTAATATGTCTGTGGCAGGAAGTGCTCGTGGTTCACTGTACAGTTCCCCTTCTCTGGTCATAGAATGATCATCCAGCCTATGGGTACTCAGGAAGTTTACTGCACTTCCTAGCTTCCTTTTGGCAATTAGAGTGAATTATGGCCCAGGAGAAATAGTTGGAAGTGATCCACCAACTTGCAGCCTATGCTGCCTCCCTCTTCTTGCTGGCTGATCTTTGGAAGTGGGATTGAGCCATCTGCACAAGGGCAACACCCAAACCACAGCACTGTTTCCTTAAACTATGGAGTGCTCCATTAGCCTTGTGGAGCAAAGCTGAAAGAGAAATGAATTCTGCCTGGTTTAGGTCACTATTATTTTTCATTCTGTCACATGCAGCTGAACCTTTTTTTTTCTAACTTAGCTTTTCAGGCTTGTCACTAAGAGAACAAACTGGGAGCACACGGCACATGTGATATAATTACACAAAAAACATGAGCATGTCCATCCCTAGAAAAGGTTCCTGAAAATCAAACATGAACAATGATCACCAACAAAAGATATGGAGTGCGATGGTGGCAAATAAGTGTTACTTTTCACTTTATATACTTATATGTTATTTGAATTTTGTTACCAATGCACAAGTGAAATACAAAAAGCTAATAACGTATATAAATCTAAAAATAAATTATCCCCTCAACTCACCTTCTGTTTATGTGCAATACCCTACCTCAACAACTTCTTCACCCAGCCTTAATCATTCTCTCCTCTATTAAGATCGTGCTTAAGATACTAAGTCCTTGTACCTGATGGTAATGATCTGTCCAAAGTTCAGTTCAAAGTTGTTAACTTGAGCGATGAAAATGGCAGCCAGTGCCTCATAGAGCGCTGTCCCATCCATGTTAATGGTGGCACCCACAGGGAGGACAAATCTGGTAATGCGTTTGTCAACACCATTATTTTCTTCCAGGCACTTGAAGGTGATGGGTAGGGTGGCAGAACTAAGAACAGGAAAACAGAAGATGTCAGCTGAGTGTCCTCCTGGTAGTTCTGACGGTATCAGTGTTTGATCTCTTGTATAGATAGTTCTTTCTTCCCTGCATCCTAACTTACAGGGAACTAAGTCAGCCCTTGTCTAAAGGGCTAGAAACAGTGTGATCACTTGGCAGTTCTGCTTCTGGGTTTTGCCCAGGCATCACTTGTGATTACTCCCACAGCAGACAGCCTGAGCCAGCTCACCCTGCCATATCTCCCTCAGTCAACTGGGAGAGGAAGGAATGGTAAAGGACAGGAAAGAAGGGTGGTTGACTTCCACCCCCAAACAGAGTCCCAAATAGATAAGATGATCAGCATCAGAGGTGAAAAGGTCAACTCATTATTCCTGAAGTTGTAAACCCAGGACAAAATGCTTCTACTTGCTTCTTACCCAAAGAGCTCTGGTCACAAGGAACAAGTTCCACATCTACACACATACCTTGAAGAGGTTCCCAACGCTGTGAAGAGTGCTTGTAGCAACCCTCCAATGAAAACCCAAGGGTTCTTCCGGGTTACCAGAAAGTAGAGGAGTGGCAGGACGATGACTGCGTGAATGAGCAGGCCAATAATGACTGTCACCGTGTACATGGCAAGCTGTCCCCCAATCACGCCCATGTCCTCCATCTCAACAATTTTGCCTGCGACCAGGAAGAGGATGCCCAGAGGGGCATACCTATGGAGAAACAGCAAGTTGTCCCATGTAAACTACCAAGCAGTAAGAAACAACAAAACATGGTGTTTTATTTTGCTGAACTTTGACTTGGCCTTTCTAAGGAATTACATGATTTTTGATCTCCTTGAATCTGTCATATTTCACTTAATAGGTTTATATTCACTTGCATACCACACAATGTATTTACTTATGAGTTTATAAGCTAAATCTAGCTTGCATATATAAGAGAAAACATGCATCTTTGGTCTTTCTGGGTCTGACTTACCTTTACTTAACATAGTGCCATGTATATCCTACAAAATTAAGAAGAGTGATGGAGGAAGTGGATGGGGAAGGGATGGAGGAGAATGTTGAAAGGGGTAACACTGGTCAAGATAAATTGTATTCATAAACTGTTTTGTTAAATAGAAACTCCTTTGTATAACTAATTAAAGGTAACAATAAAAAGAAAAACAGCAACTACAAAACAAAACAAAAAAATAGGGAACATGGTGGGAAAGAGTGGATTTCCAAACTTTCCAGTATGGGATATTATTACGACTTGTAGAAACTATATATTTCTTTCTTTTCTATTTTAAATGTAATTTCCCCCTGGATATTTCCCCTGGGATTGCTCTAGAATATTTGTTTCCTTTTCTTTTATACTTGTGGGAGAAAAAGGGAAGTGTTAGGAGTTTTGGTACCCACCCCTATTTTCTTGGACAGTTTTCCTTTCCTGAGATGTCCCCTTCCACCTTGCTGCTGACCTTTGGCTAAGTACTGCAACTGTCACAATTCATCATAACACTATCCAGACTTTGGGAAGTATTGTCCACACACAGTTGGCTCCCCAAATGAAAGCGTGAACATAGAGGGCCGTGTCAGTGGTTCAGATTTACAGTCAGCTTTTCTTAATCCTAGGGCCACCTTCATTACTTCTGTCCATAGCTACATATCACTAACAATATCATATTTTCTTTAAAGCACCTGTTTTACTGACGTAGATTTACTTTCAGAGAACATTTTATGCTATTGGGCAAACACGAAACTGGAACCATTCACCATAGATCATAAAATAAATTCAAAGCAATTAAAGTTAATAACATGCAAGTATGTACTACTACAATCAGTTCCTAGGTGTTCTAATTAACTATGACAAGCTGTTATTGCCATTTGTGAGCTTTCCCTTGTAGACTGTAAGAATGAGAAACTGACCACAAATTGACTTGTATACACCCAAATAGCCCTGTTTGTTCAAAGGCCCTACTGCCTAGTTTTCGACTGCCTTTGTGTGAGGTGTGCAGTAAACTATAACCAAACACATCACCAAAAACAGAACAGCCAATCACTCAAAGAGAAAGGTCTGCTGGGAACAGCGGAGGACTTAATGTAACTTGAAAACTACAATGCTTCTTTTAAAAGTCCTTAGAATGTGGGCCAGGAAATCATAGAAGTACCTGTTTTCAAAAATGCAATAACTCAAAAGTTGAATGTGTAGGCGAATGTACAGCTAGCAATGTGACATGTGAGGTCCATTCAGTGCTCTTGAATGGGCTTCTTTCATAAAAGAGGTGAAAGGTGGAGGGATTTTAATAATATGAAGATAAATGTCCACTCTCAGCCTTCCCAGGATTTCAAAGGAACCTTCCAAGTGGAGGCCCCTGTAGAGACTACATTCTGATTTGTCTTTGTGCCCAAGTTCATATTCATCTTGTCCATAGTCCTAAAAAGTGGATTTCTCTAGGCTTTAGTGGCATTACAGACAAAGGACATTTTTAATCATGTTGGTGAGTGGGTGCTTTTCTCAGTAATTGATGCTTTTCTGCAGCAGGTGCCAAGGTAGGTCGTGGGTATTAAAAATAAAGGATAAAAGAGCAGTAACCCCCACATGAGGCATAAACCAAGCAAAGGGTTCTCTCCCTGCTGGGGAGACGACTTTTCAAGGCCAAGACTCTCCTTTGGACTAAGCCTTTTCCTTTGTCTCTTGCTCTGAACATTATTAAAGGAAGTTCCATTATAAATTGTGGCTTAGCATTCCATAATATTTCCCATGAAACCTCCATGAGTCCCTCTGTACATTGCAACAGAACTGTCATGAATAGTTCTTTCCTAGAGTTCAAACAGAGACATATTTCCATTTTTATGATGGTTTTGGGCCTGTGGGTTTGCTTTCTTTTTCAGTGGGGAGAGATTCTCCTCTCACATTTTGTGAGACTCTTAGTCCTTCAGGTCTCGACCGCCACCCCCCCCCCCCCCCGAAAAAGAAATCACCTGCAGGCCGTTCTTACCATTCAAGTCAGAGTTTAATTTTATGTCTTCTCCCCAGTAACCTGATATTTAATTTTATTTCATTTTAGTTTTTCACAGCATTTAGGACTTAAGACATGGTTACTTTATTTGCTTGTTTTTGTTGTTGTTGTTGTTTTGTTTTGTTTTTTGTCTGTCTCCCTGAAAAGCATGTAAGATCCAACATTCTTGTATGGTCTCTTCACTTATGGGTCTACAGAGCGTTCTTATCATATAACAAGCACCGCATAACTAAATAGATGCAAAGTGGGATTCTATAGGCTTCAATGAGGTAGAAGAGTTGACACCTTTTGGAAATAGGGAAGTGAACTTAAAATAGGCTTGCAGATAGGTTCAAGACCTTGAAGGGCCAGTAATGCATCAATTACCTGTGCTTTCCAGAGTGAGACCATTAGAATTAGGCATTGGCTTGGTGAGGCATTTTCCTCAGAACAGAACTCATGGTGATGGCAAAAACATCATGTATATAGTTATATAGCAAATGGAAATACATACCACATTACCACTGCAACCAATCTCATGATGGCTTCATTAAGTGAATCAAAGAAGTCTCTCAGGGCTTGTCCCTGTTCCTTCATGTTTCCAATCACGAAACCAAAGCACATGGAAAAAACAACCAGTCCCAGGGCATTGACTCCATTCACAGATCCTGGAACAGGGACTAGCTCTTCCCTGATACGAGTGAGAGTTTCCATGGCCTCTGACACATTGTTTACCACGGCACTCAGGAGTGTTTCATTGGACTGAATAGGCACTTTAAAGCTTCTCTTCTCATAGCTGGTTTTAAACTTAAAAATAAAAAGCACAACAGGAATGAGCTGATTTTAATTTTTCTTTATACTTTGCTGCCATCCAAATTTTCTACAATGATAAACATTATTCTGCATTCAGAAGATCCTGTAGAAAGTATGAAGTTATCTATCTATCTACCTATTTATCTACCTATGTGGCTGTCTATGTTTCTATGTATGTATGTATATATGTATGTATGTATCTACCATCCATCTATCCTAATCTGTGGCAATTCCCTATTCTTCAGGAAGACACATATATTCATATAAATCACTACACACACACACACACACACACACACAAACACACTCAAATACATAATATCATAAAATCATCATAGGAAAGAGATGTCTGGTGAAAGATAGTGTTCTAAATATGCATAGTCATGTACTTTTGTTTTCTTCCAAAACCCTAATAAAATCATTATAATGGGGTTTAAAAAAATTCATAAGCCTAGATGTTCAGAAGTTCTTTCCTTTTCTATGGGGATCATGCTATGGGATTATGGCGAAATCACCTAACATCCATTCTTTAAATTCCACAGTTGTGCAACTGGGATAACTGGGCTGGGATAACCTCCAAGGGTTGCAGTGATGATCAAATTAAACATACTAGGTAAGAATACCATATAAAAATGCAAGCTATTACATTAACATTGGTTAATGTGCACAATGAAAGGCCCTTCAGGAATTAGACCTGGCTGGAGATTGCAGTGGATTATTAAACATGCAAAAATCTCAAAACCAGGCTTCAAGCCATTTCTGATATCAATTCTTTTTTTTTAATTGCATTCTTTTAAAAAATATTTTTAATTGTAAAGATACTATACAGAGGGGTTATAGTTACATAAGTAAGGCAATGGGCACATTTCCTATAGACCTTTGTTACCCTTCCTTGATATCATCAATTCTTAATGATATGTGCCTTCCTGATGAATAGCTGAGGATGGCAATTCTCCAAATCTGTAGTGTATTTTTTTCTACCTCAAGAGATGAGTTTCCCCACAACTTCTGCATAAGTTAGCCAGACAAGATTGCTGAGAACATTGCTGTGACCACAGAAAACAATTAAGCCTATTTTGCTATGCATTTAGCAACAGTAGGATTCCATGATAGTGAAGGTGGTAAAGTATCAGTCAGGGTCATAATGTGTAGCTCTTGACTAGTTAAAGGGGAAAAAAGGAGGCCATGCATGAAGTGCTCAGCCATGACTTTCTGGTCCATTGGGAAATTACTAGTCCCAAACAAGGACGTGGCCAGCTGTCAATGCTGTGGTCACACCCTTGAACAATCAGTGGTATTGCTGGCCATTTTAAGCGAAAGAAAATCGTATTCCAGTCAACGTTCTCATCTCTTTGCTTTGCTGGGTGCTTATGTATTTGATAGATTAACTTGGGTAGATTTTTCAATCCTGATTATCCTTTCATCTCTTTCTTCTTAAATATAGCTTGTAGCCTTTTCAAAAGCAGCACCATCATTTGCATTTTGGTCTAAACCAACTAGATCTGGGGAGAAATTTTTGCTAACTCTTGAAAATCTTGTACATGCCAAAGTACAAAAAGTACAATAAATCTGCACCAGTCAGTAATTTTTCCATCTGAAAGCTAAAACAGCATTTTTTTTTATATCACTCAGTGCCAGCTGGCTAATTGGAATAGTCACCAACCTCATGGTGCTAGGGTTGGCTGGTTGTGTTAAAAGGTGTTTATTAGGGACTGGGAGTGGTAGAGTGCTTGCCTTGCATGCACGAGGCTCTGGATTCGATTCCTCAGCACCACATAGCAGAAAGAGCTGGAAGTGGTGCTGTGGCTCAAGTGGTAGAGCACTAGCCTTGAGCTGAAGAGCTGAGGGACAGCACCCAGGCCCAGAGTTCAGCCCCATGACTGACAAAAAAAAGGGGGGGTTATTATTTATTATTATCATTGTTTTATGAATAAAGGAAGTTAAGAGTTTAGCTGCTTAATTTTTTTATTAAAAAAGGATTCTTGTAATGTACGTGTACATTACCTTTAAAAAATAGTCTTAATAGAATTTTTGTTGTTGTTGTTGTTGTTGGACATGGAGCTTGAACTCCCTGAGCATTTTCCCTCAAGGCCAGCACTCTACCACTTTGAGCCAGTTTTCTAGTGGTTAACTGAAGATGAGTCTCATGGACTTTCCTGCCCTGGCAGGCTTTGAACTGCAATCCCCAGATCTCAGCCTCCTGAATAGCTAGGATAACAGGCCCATTGGTGCCTGACTTAATAGAATTTTTAAGAAGGAAGAAAAAAAATCAAAGGAAGTCTTGGATGTATAAACTCTGCTTCTCCATGAGATTGGCTTTTGTTTCCTTTTACAGATCCCAACAGGAAAGTTCGGAAATTACAACAGGGGTGAATTGACACCATCTGGAGAAGTGTTTGGAAACTATTATTTGATTCAGAATGTCTGTTTTATATTTGGGGCAACAGAACTTTTATAGTCAATTGAGGTTAGAATGAACTTTACTGATTTTTAAATCTCTTTATGGCAGAATGCATTTCTGCCCACTGTGCAGCAAGCTAAGATTTGCTTGACTATGAAGCTGAGGGGAAGTGGACATTACCAGAGCTTCCAGGTAGCTGTCTCATCTGTTGATTTCTAGGAAGCAGAATGGAATAGTTGGAAGAGAAGAGCATTTATAGTCATCACAATGGATCTGAATTCTGAGTTTTGCATCTGCCATTTACTACCTGTGAGAACTTGTGCTGGTTACATAGGCTCTCCATTCTTAAACATGAGCGGCCTCATCAGTGAAATAGACAGTGATACTCATCACATTGCTGTGAAGACTAAATATAACATTAGTGCTTGGCACACAGCAGGCATTCCATACATGATGGTGCCATTCCTTTCTGATACGGGTCTCCTTCAGATTCCCGAAGGCCCTCCATAGACTTCTAATAAACATTCCAATGATGTTTTTAAACCAAACCCAGGAACTGGAATAATCTCTCTAATCTTCTTTATAGAAAGCTGTTATGGAGTTTGCCTACTTCATGGGCTTTTGAGTATCAGCTGTGGGGGACAGGGAGAGAAGAAGACTGTCTTGATTAGCTCTCTTAATAAAAACAGAGATTCAGTATGGTATTTATATGCAAGATACACTGTGTCTAGCAGCTAGGGGGCCTTCAATGGAAGGTAAGAGCCACCACTTTCCCCAAATTTCCCAGAGGATCCTCATGTTTTCCATGTGGTTGCAAGAGAAGTGATTCTTATTGTAGACAAATGGGGGCGGAAAAAAAGGGCTCTGCTTGGTTTAAATGCCAAAGAGGAATTTTAAAGGGGAATTAGTGGTTGTAGAATGTTTACCTGTTTAAAGCAGGCTTCCACCAGATTTGGAGGGAACATGTTCCTGCAAAGAAAATAGTAGTCACTTGAAAAATTTGGCAGAGAGGAACTTTGTTCCTTACATACTGCTTCATTGTGTCTAAAGCAAGGACTCCCTTGAACCAAGTACCAGATGGAAAAGGTGAAAAGTCATTTTTCTGACTTGAAATGGGATATATGTTTGTTCCTAAAGTGTGACCTATGCAATCTATATTTTGCAAAGAAGTGTTCAATTCAACTGCCATCTTGTCAGCCAAACACATTCTTCATTCAGCCATTATATCAAAACCCTGCTCCTAAGAAGAATCAAAGGGAGGTCCAAATGCCTTTTGTTAGCACCGTGGCTGACTGAGCTTTTGGTCAGTCACAGTCATCTTTGGTATTGCACCAAGTGTTTAAGGAACAAAAGCTCTCAAAACTCATAGTTGGATGGTGGAACTTTTTTTTTCTGTAAAGATTTGTTAGACATTCTGGAGAATGGACGTGAGATTGAATAGTTTTCATTGGAGACATGAACTTCAAATTTTGTGGTAGGGTTTGCCATGTCTTCAAAGACTGTGTCAGGATAATGTTCAGGCAATGATCTGGTCAGGGAATAGGACATTGACCAAGCTATGGCATTCATTTATGTTAAAGAGGGAGTGGGTAAAATCACCATTAGAGAGCTAAGATTTCCATCTTAGACTTGGAGAAGAGACAGAACCAAGGTAGATATGAGCCAAGAATTCCAGATGTAAACTATCAAAATCAGACCTGAAGGCTATAAACTTATACCTTTCTTTGTATGATCCAGACTGCCCTGCTTCCTTTCCCTTCTATATGTTTGTTTTTTATGCTAGAAGTATGCTTTCAGAAGATTCCAGATGAATGCTCAAGTGACAGCATAGGGACAGGATGTTCATATACTCATCATTAGGGTAAGGAGGAAGAGAAACTCACAGGCCTCTGATAGACCAGGCTGGAGATCCCATTTTCAAGATCTCAGTTCTTCAAATAAAGATAGGAATTACAGTGAAAGACATTACAACAAAATACTCTTAATCCAAACTCCCTGAGGTAGAGTTCATGGAAATATGGTAAAAAACAAAACAGAAAAACAAAAAATCCCACTTTAACTAACTATACAAACTAAACAAAAACATATTAATAGGTTGCTAACCTGGTATGGAATAATGTTATAGGGTGGCTTGTTATCTTCAGATCATTGTGATTGACTTCCTAAAAATGGTTTTGGAAAAGAAAGTTCCATGAGGGCTGTGCATAGTGGCTACCAGGGAGGCAAAGATAGGATTGTGGTTTTAGGCCAGCCTGGGTAAAAAAGTTAGTATCAGCCTCTTTTAGTCAGTGACACCTCCAAGGAGGGCAAAACAAAACAAAAACATCTCTTGAAACTCTGTCTGAAAAATACTAGAAGCAAAAAAATGGGCTGTATTTGCCTGACAAGTGGAAAGTTCTGAGATCAAATTCCAGAACTGCCAAAAAGAAGAAAAAAAAGAAAAACAAGCTCATGCCCCTTGCAGTTGGGTGGTAACTATAGATGGATCACATGAAGTCACCCACGGCAGGAATGAGGGGTGCTGCTGAGGATAGCCTCTGATACTCTGCTGCCCATATCTCCAGGGGGTCTAACTGCTACAGTTGAGATAGAGTATCAGATCAGTCCCTTGGAGGAACTTTCTTCAGATGGTTGACAGAAAGCTTTTAGAATAGGTATCAAGTCCATTTGCAAACAAGTTGTTAATTAAGAAGGGATGGGGGCTGGGAGGGAGGAAGTTCAATCTTGAGAAGACAAGTCTGATGGGGGACTGCAAAAAATGGATAGGGATCTAGAGACCTGTTCCATTTGTCCCTTTTCCATTTGTCCACCTTCCATTCTTCTCTGAGACCTGGGAACTGACCTCCATGGACCGTGGCATATGAACTCCTTCACTTCTATGGGTCTAACAGCAGGTATTGACAGATCCCTGAGAAGTGGATGTATCCATTGTATCCATGTATCCATTCCTCCAACTCTTTCCTTGACAGGTTAGTGGCAGCACCCTTCCTCCAATGAAAGCTAGGTGTCCTACTTTCAGGCCTTTCTCCCATGACTATGGCTCTTTCTTGAGTCCAGAAACAAAATAGCTTCTTAATACTGTTAATCCTCTGGCACCTCATCCCTTGGAGGTTCTTTCAACCCTGACAGCACCTTTGCAAGCCTTCTTCACTGGTTAACTTCTGAGGGTGCAGCATGCTCCTTTCTAAGACTTGACTGATCCTAGGGCAGAAGTGTAGTGAGAGAAAACAGGAAAGTACCAAGATCAAATTTTGGCTCACTTCACGGTTCTGTGAAAGGCCAGTTCTCATCAAGTCTGTTTTCAAGAGTTAGATAAGACTCATTTGTAGTGGGTCTGGTTGTGACATAAAACAACGCTGGAGAAACTATCACTTAGTCTTTTATTACTGTTCTGTCAACTCTCTTTTTTCATAGGAAATACAAAAAGAAAAAGCCAAGGAAAGGAGTGATCAGCAGACCTTCAAATACCCTGCTGGAAGCGTATTTTTACATATAGTAAACAATGATACAGACCCAAGTTCTGAATTAGCAGTCATGTGATTAGACTAAAAACTAGTCTTCAACATTAAGACTCGTGAAAAATTAAGAATGACTAATATGCCAAGACAAATTGCACAACCAAGAGAACTTAGTGATGAGGTTCTGGATCCTAAAGGCAGGACTCTCAAAGTCTGTCACTTTCGCTTCTCCTCATTGTTTCTAAGAGAATGGAAAATTGATCCTGGATTTATTTTCTGTGAGAAGATGCTTCTTTCAGATACTTCTTCCATGACTCATGGTACAAAGGATGAGGCGGCCAGAATATACCCAAGAGCTGGGCCTGCGAGGACGTACCTGATTAAATCCAGGAAGGCATCTGCAGCAGTCACTTGTACAATTTTGCCTTCTCTGTACATGTTTTCCTTTGTGCCCTTCCCAGGATGGATGATGATGACAATGATTATGCCAATCACCACAGCAATGATGGTGGTAGTCATGTAATAGACTACAGCTCGCATTCCCATCTTCCCTGATGCCTTCCTATCTAGGGCCGCCATTCCTGGTGAAGGCAAACAGAAGATTTTTGGGAAGTCAGTCCAGGGGATTCTTTAGTGGGAGATAATGGGAACAGCGTTTCCTTCTACACTCTCTTTCCCTTTGCCCACCCAGCAATACATACTATGAGAACTCGGCCCCAGATCTACTCAGATCACAAAAGGTGCAGGGGGAGGGGAAGCCATGGGAGATGTAGACACTACTTGTATCAGTGAACATGTGAGGGAACACATTTGCTGCCCTAAAAATTGATTCCGGGTGGCCAAATATTATCAGCTCTCTAATAGTTTGAAAGTGCATTTAACGTCTCTCCTCCATTTTCATTGGTTGGAAATACCTACAACTATGAGGCATAAGGTAGTACGTGTGTCTGTCTGTGTGTATAACAGGACACTAAACATTTCTGACAGGGTTTGATGAAGAGGAATCTCTCCTCTTTTTGCCAATTCAGTACTTTAACTTGAGTCCTATGTCTTCAGAAAGTCTCTTGTAAATATGTTGAATACATGAATTGATCAACTGAATGAACAGACGAATTAATATTTACTTATAAACTGAACAAAAAAATTCAGGTAGGATAATCTAAGCTTATTCAAGTTCAAGGACTGTGATGATTCTCACAGGTGAACTGGCATTAAATAATTTCCCCAAAAATGTATCATTTTATATGTTTTGTAGAATCTTTTTTGATGTCTTTTATGCAAAATGTTATTATTCTAATTACTTGCTGATCTATCTTCAGTTTGCATTTCAAGTAAACATTAAGTTCTAAAACCCAAGTTCTCTGTTTTACTTCACCTCTTCTAATTAATCTTAAAACTATTAGGTTGGCGGAGTTCTTATTCGTGTACTCTCTCTTCTTCTACTTTGTCCCATAGGGACACATTTTGTTACATAAATCTAAGGTACCTTCTCATGTTAAAACACTTTCCCCCCTCATTTTCAGAAGTTTAAGTTTCACTTAGTTGAAATTGGAGACAAAACTGAAAGGTTTCTCCAATGGTGTAAACTAATTCAAGAGACATATCTCTTGGGTTGGAAACAACTGGACCTGACATAAAACTCTCAAAAAACAAAATTATTAAGCTAAGGCCCAGTGGCTTATGCCTGTAATCTTAGCTGCTTAGGAAGTTGAGATCTGAGAATTCCAGTTGAAGCCAGTCTGGGCAGAAAAGTCTGTGAGACTCTTATCTCTAATCAACCACCAAAAAGCTGGATGTAAAGCTCTGGCTCAATTAATAGAACACTAGCCTTGAGTGAAAAAGCTCAGGAATAGCACCCAGTCCCTGAGTTTAAGCCCCAGGACCAGTGCCAAAAAGCCCCCCCCAAAACAAAAAACAAAAGCCAAACAAAAATCCACCTAAAAAACTACAATATGGGCTTTTCAGTTTCATTAGTTGTTCATCTCTTTTCTTCTTTCTTTATCCTCCTCAATCCCGTGATAACACTAAAATCCAATTATAGTATAATCCAATTATAGTTAGAGTGTTTTCCTTACTATTTAAAATTGTGATTCCATGAATGTATTAAAAGGTTATATTACATTGCAAGGTAGATAACAAATTTTAATGGTGGTTTCATATTAAATAGTGACCATGTTCACACAAATATATTTAGAAAAAGGTAAGTATTAAAAACTAGTGTCTATTGGAAAAAATTATATTATGTGAAGTAAGCCAAGCCCCAAGAAATGTAGGTCCTATGGTTTCCTTTATTTGCAATAACTAGTATATGTCTAGGACAAGCAGAAAAGGTCAAAAGCTATGTATATATGACCATATAAGATGATGTTAAGTGAAATGAACCCCAAGATAGGGACACAGTGTTTTTTTTCTTTCTTTCTATTGTTTTTAACATATTTATAATGTGCTATGTGATTTTTTGTTTCTTTGGTATGTTCCTCCCCCACGGTATAACTCCTGTTTTCACTGTATTTGATGTCGGTGCCCTGCATCTTGTATATATACATTTTTCTAATTTGGAGAGGGGAAGGATACACAATGCTTAAATAGGGATACAGGTTGACCCATTGTAACAATGAGATGTACAAGACACTATGTTGAAAACGAACTTTACAACTTCGGGCGTCGGGAGGGGGGAAGGGAGGAGCTAGGGAGGTGGGGAGGGAAGGGATGGTAGGGGAAAAAACAGAGGAGGAGGTAACAAAGCTCAGTAAAAAATGTACTCATTATCTTACTCATGTAACTGTAACCCCTCTGTACAATAAAAAAAATGTACAAAAAACAGTGTCTATGTCAGATAACACAGTTTAAGATTTGTCCAAATTTGGATTTGCTATGATTTAGGATTTACCCAAAACTATTGTTACAAAGGTAATTGGAGGTGAGAATTGAAGCACTGACTTTCCATTTACAGTCTCACTTATATCTGAATTATATAGTTTATAACGCTCATAGTATGCCCTTATTTAAATTTTCACATAGGATTATATTTTAACAAGAGCCCGTTTGGCAGATTAAAAACTAACTCAAGTCTAAGACTTTAGTTAACTTCAAGTAGAATGGAACAAGAACTCAAACTCAGGTATTATGTCATTCAACATGAGCTTCCTGCCCAAATGGACTTTTTAGTGCATTAACTTTAAACCACATTTATCTCTGTCTAGCTTCTTGATACCCATTGCTAAAAATCAATTTATTGAGATGGCACCATTTAAATACGTCAGTTATGTTATAAATGATCTCAGCCAAAGTATCTCATCTCTCTATTTTCTTCTCAGGTATGAGTCACATGTCAAAATACCTTGGCTTTGCTGTGCTTGCAAAAATTTCTGTAGGAAGGGACCCACTCTTTCCCATGACTGTCTGAAGTTGGCACCATAGCCAGCAATCCCTCTGGTTCTTTTCCTGTCCACTAATGTAAGTACAAAAGGCCGGATATTTGACCCTCTTGCCCACAATGGCCAACCTGTGCTATTCAGGGAGAACACTGGTGGTCAAGACAGCACTAAGACCCCAGCCTGACAGTGGAATGGCAAAAATTATCTCAATACCCACAGCTATAAGGCTAGCAACTCTTGGAGATAAATTTTATAGGCTTAAAAATATTTCAGAAAATGAAAACCAACATGCAAGTATTTTCTCCAAACTTTCTAATTCTGAAATAGCTGAAGAAAACCATCAAAAGACATGTTCTTAACACACAAGAGAACCAACAGCCCAAATGAGGCCTCCTTCACCTCTGTGTATGGGGTCTTTCTTTTAAAAAGAGAATAAACTGATATTGTTTCCACCCAAGAAAGGGACAGATAGGAACTCTTTAGAGGCCATTTCTCTCCTTTTCCTACAAGAGTCCTATAGGATCACTTGCTCATCTCAGGTCCTTGGATATACCAATTGTAAAACTAAAGAAACCACCAGCAACAAGGCCATGCACTGTTACCAGGGCAACAGCAGGACAGATGTACACATCTGCTACACACACAATGACCTTGATACTGGTGGAACCAGGAAAACAGGAAGAGCTCTGGAAGATAAAAGTCCAAGTGAGCAGAGCATCGTCCTTCTTCTCCCACACCGGAACCCTGTGACCATCCTCTTGCCCCAGCCTCATGAAATATGAGAGACTAAGCTTTATACTAGAGACTAAACACACATGTCAGAATGTCTGGGCAAGGCCTAAGTGCTAAATCACTTTGTATAAAGGGAAGCTTCGGCAGCGATCCCTAAATGTATGGAAAGGGAAAGTTGTCATTCATTTTAAAATATAGGAGAGAAAGGACACTGGGGTGGTGGCGAGACAGGAAATCACACGGGCATGGAGGTACTTGTCAGGGTGATTACAGGATCCACACATTCATCGAAGTATGTGTTTGAGGCACACACTTACTACATTTAGATGTAGTAAAGGTAAAAAATGATCTTACTGTCTTTGTTTTCATTGTATCTGGGCTTATCTAAACCAGGTTTATTTTTTTACTGGGAAAATCAAGACTCTCTTACTTACTCTTTACTGGGAAAACCAAGACTCTTGAAACACACAAAAAAAGTCTTATATTGTACTCTCACTTGAGTACCATGATAACTCATCTGGGTACAAAGGGTTTGTGTGTTCTGTAGATTTTGAGTACACTTTCATGTTGATCCCCTGACTCATTCATCAGGTCCTGTTTCTGACTGATGCTATGTTTATTTGATTCAATGTCAATTATACAAATGTAGATATTGCTGATTACTATGTACAAAGGAAGAAACAAGAGACCAGAAAAGTTAAGTAACTTGCCTAATGTTGTGCAGCTAATTTGTGGCAGTGGCAGAGTCCAAACTTACACATCCCAAAGAGTATCCTTGTGGCTAGACCCCTCTTTTTTTATGGGCAAGCTGGGAATTACACTTGCTTGTCATCTATGCTGATTTTTCTAGCCTTCTTACACTGATCTCAATGTTGACCTGAGTTCCCTGGCTAGAGGAAATTCTATGGAGAGAGGTAATTGTGGAAGGTCTCTGTCTAATTTCTCCACATTCCTTAGATCTCCTGGAAGGTTAAATTGATTAATACTACCTATCAGAAGGGATAGAGAGATATAATAGAACACCATAAATTCTTCTTCATTTCTAGAAAAACAGGCCAGAGAATGCACATTCTAGTAGAGGTTGGAGGGCCATGAAATCTTGCTGCCTGTGAACATTGAGGCTTATTATCCTTTCTGAAAAAAAAAAAATCTACCTATCAAGCCAGGCGTCGGTGGCTCACGCCTGTAAACCTAGCTATTCAGAAGGCTGAGACCTAAGAATCATGGTTCAAAGCCAGCCTGGGCAGAAAAGTCCTGTGGAAATCTTATCTCCAATAAACTGCTCAAAAATGGGAAGTGGTGCTGTGGCTCAAGTGGTAGATTGCTAGCCTTGAGCATAGAGGTTCAGGGACAGCGCCCAAGCCCTGAGTTCAAGCCCTGCAATTAACAAGAACCAAAAAAAGCCCACTACCTATCAATAACCATCATCAAGCAGGCAAACTGGAAATCTATCAGATGTTCACCATTGAATT